TCATTCCATTTTTACTTTCACTTTCTGCATAATGAATTGACTGAAAAGTTTGCACGTTGCTTGTGTGATATCCACTGGCTTGCCTTCATGGTTTTAAACAGAAATATTTCCAACATTGCGACGTAACCAATTGAATCAAACCTTGATTCTGTGGTCTTCTACATCAGAGATGGTGGCTACACGAATAAGCATGGCATTACGTTTATCCACTGCCTCCAGCTTCATCCCAACTTGGAAGCCATGTGGTGGTCTCTGGATGGCCAAAGATCAAAGGTCATTTACAATTCAAATAAAAACATAAATAATTAAAAACCAGCACCTCTCATGGTTCAGTGGGGTGAATCAAGCCTCACCTGTTTAAAGGCTCTTGCTGGTGCAGCCTGGGCTCCAGTTTCCTCAAGGTACTTCTCCCAAGTAAAAACCTTGGGAGGCTTATAATCTAAGACACAAAAATAAACAGACGTTAAATAATCTTAAAACCACTTGTCATCATGCTCATTAGTCTAAAAAATGTTATACTAATCAATTTTAACTGAATACAAAATGTTAGGTACATCATAAATTGTAAATATTTTCATTAGATAGTATTTCAATTATTTATTTTAACTTTAGAACAATGTCAAACAAAAGCTGCTAATCATTTAATTTTGGAAATAACTTTTTGTGTTTATAGTATTACTGTTTCTCACACAATATAAAATAGAATTCCATAATCATTTGTGAAAGAAATGTAAATGATGCAGGGGTGAATATTACATGAAAAGAGTTTCACCTGCAGGTGTAGTGAGCATTAACTCGGCCTCCTCACAGTACCCTACCGGATGAATGTATGGACTGCTGGCATCACACCTGAGAACAAACACAATTCATTTACTACCTTAATTTACTACACAATCATGAGCAATTCCGAGAATTCTGCTCAGTCACTATCTTTACCAATAATCATACGAATCATCCCAGTTGTCAAAGTGAATGAGGAGTCGGTTGTCGACAGCAGCAGCAATGGTTGCAACACAGATGAGTGATGGGTTCTTCCTGTCAACGGCTTCCAGCTTCATCCCGGCACGGAATCCTGACGGTGTGACCGACTAAATATGGCAGACAACACATGGTTGTAAAAGACAGCATGATCTTCAGAACAGAAACTAACACTGAGAATCTACGAGAAATACTTTATAATTGTGTGCATATAAAATGACATACTGTATTAAGACTCTTGAAGAGATGTTTGGGGGCCAGTTGACCCCTACAGTTCTTTACATATGTGTTCCAGTTAAACTCTCCATCTTTGCAGCCTGTAAGCAAACACACAAATATTACAAAAACAGCATATGCAACCCATTTTACAGTTTTTTTAAATAAACTGAATATTCTAGCAGCATGTGCAATGGCATATGCAACATTTTTCCATTCCACTGTGCTACTTTTCAATTGTTTTCCTTGTAAACACACGTTTGACTGTTGAGCTCGCATCTCGCTACTTTTGTAGCATCTTGAGCATAACAAGGCATTCCAAAAATACAGCACATCTCAAGACCCTGCGTTTTTTCCCCCGTTCCACTGCCCGCATCACGCATGTTTCAAAGCAAATACATGATCTGTGTGAATAGCCCCTAAGAGTGTCTAAAAACCCTGCAGTTTTGTCCATTCCAAATGTTATAAAACAACATGAAAAATATGCTAACGTAACCATTTTTTAAACAAATAAAATAAATTATAATTTCATTATATATTTTACAGTTAGTAAATTACATTTTTATTATATTTCGATTAATTTATTTAATTATATTTTGTGGTATTTATTATTTATAATCAATGATCGTGTCAATTACAATACTATTACATCTATGTTCAATTTCAGAATAAAAACTAGTAGACCATTTTGTAATCACACCATTCCGAATATAAAACACTATAAAACACATCTAATATGTTACAGAGAACAAACATAGAGCTCTGCACAAGAGCTGCTTTGCATGTTGCATCCTTGACAACAGACAACCAGCATTAAGCACCTTTTGGCAGCAATAGCTTGAGACCCGTTTTCTCACACCAGCCTGGCGGCTTCACATCCCATGAGTCAGCATTTACCCAGAAGTCATAGCACTCAGGGTAGCCATCAAAGTGAAGCCGAATCCTGTAGCCTTGCACCTGGAACAGAAGGCAAATATGTCCAAATACACATTTTACAATAAGCACAGCTATCTATATATTTTCTTTAAAAATCACATATCAAATAAAATCACAGGAACTTTTGACTCTGGTTACCTCTGCAACAGTCAAAACGCAGAAGAAAGCAGGGTGACTGGGGTCCAATCCCTCTAACTTCATGCCAACTTTAAATCCATTCCTGCTTTGAGGAAACGACTGGTGCTGTATTGCAAACACAGACAAACAGAAAATTACGCAATTTCACAGAATTTGCGTAAAATTCCATCCAGATGCAGAGCTGTTTTTGTTCAAGTAACACTTATTTGTTTCTAAAGACAAAAACGGATTGACATCAAACTAACCATCCTAATCAGGACCCTAAGCATTCCATGTTACCTATATAACTGTGAACAGACACACAAGCTATATATGCTGTGTATCTCACCTCCTTAAAAAGTTTCAAGGGAGCAGTAATGGCTCTCTCCTCCTCTAGATAAGCTGACCAACTCCAGGTTTTCTTCTTTACCAGAGGTGCAGTCACTATGAACACAGCATCAAATTAGGGCTGCACGATTATGACAAAAATCATAATTGTCGATTATTCCTTTGAAATTGTAATTGCGATTATTAATTTACGATTAAATTAATGATGTTTACACCTTTGTTTGAAGCAACTGCATGCCATATTTTTATATGAAAATAAACAAGCTGAAAACACTATCTGGAAAACTTATATTGCTTTTCTATAGTATTAACTTAGCCTCAAGTGTCAACTATACATTGGATTGGTTTCTCTTTAAATAAAAAGGTAAAAATATGCATGGTATTATAATATAATTAATTTAAAAATTAAAACGATGGAAAAACCCTTAAGATAACATGTAGCAAGAAACAAAAAGCATCTTAAGCATGCAGAATAACATAAGTGGACTTTGAACGATTAATTGCCGCTTTGAATGATTACGTAATTGTGGCATCCGTAATTGTAATTGCGATTAGAAATTCGATTAATTGTGCAGCCCTACATCAAATAGAGGCAAGTTATATGACTTAGGAAAGTATTTAAGTGATCATACATGGAAAAATCATTACAATTGATAATACACAGGATAAAGGACAATTTGAAACCGAGTGAAAATATACAAAACAAAATCTACCCATACAAGTTGAGATGCAGCAATAGAAAAATAAAAAAAAGTATTTGGCCAACCGAAAATTATATTCATGTTATGGCTGATAACAGATAAATGGCCAATATTACAATTCTTTACTGTTTTGTCTAAGTAAAATAAAAGACTAAAAACTCAAAAACTCAGTTGTTTAAATGCTATCACAACATCATAATGTACAGTGTGGATATTTATTCTGAAATTACATTTAACAGCGTTATTAAATAATTAGTGTTTTTAACTAGAGTTTGTGTTTCTGCATGTACAGTATGTGAGAGATAAATGAATATTACCAACCTAATCTAGCAACTTTAGCTGCTCGTCTCCCCTTTGAGGATCTAACCTTCTCCTGAGAAAAAAAAATTGCCATTGAGCAATACAGTAAATTCCACTTTAGTACATCTCATTAATACTGAATTTGATCTCCTTTGTTTGAGGTGGATGTGTGTGTGTGTATTACCTCTTCCTCCTCTATGTTGTCCTCCTCTTCATCTCCAGATTCCATAAACATCTTCTTCTTCTTTCTCACACGTTTACCTAAACGTTCCCCTTCGACAGCCTCAGCTGGGGTTGACCTGCACACATACACACAAAGACTTAATACACTATAAACAGTGCAACTAGCAGAGCTCAGCGAATGCCAAAAACATGTACCTGCCACTGGTGGGCTGTACACAAGGAGCGCTGCAATATTTGCCTTGTAGAAAGGATTCGCGTGAACCAGAGTGACCACATGACCTGCAGTTTGCAGTCGCCTCAGTCATGGGAACAATCGCATTGGGCACTGTACTCACACTAGGGCTTTCCACAGCGTTGTTGCTCTCTGCCTGCCTGTGGGGCTCAGTGGAAACTGAAAGAAAGCAAAGAGATACTGAGCTCCCAAAAACGAATTAAAAGGGCAAATAATTCCTCGATTTGGTAGGAATATGTGCGAGTTACAGGTACTCACCCACTGCATTTGTCTGATGCTCTGTATTTGACTGGGGCTTTGCAGTCTGATTTAATGTTTTGTTTTGCTCAGAAGAATGAGTGTTGCTGGTGCCTGTAGTTTGAGGCTGTGGGCCTGTAAGCTCTGCCTCTTTAACTTTGGGCTCCACCTCTGTGACGATCTCCAGGGTGCCAAATTCAGTCATCCGAAACTAAAAACAGACCAGAAATTGTTTTTTTTTGCATTAGCACATTCCTAATAGTCAAATATGTCCCTCACTCCACTCTTTATGCATCATATACATTAAATATTTGTACCCGAATGTCACTTCCTGGCAAAGTGGCTATGCCGTCCTTCCAATCAAGAGCGCTCATCATGTCAAAATCGGCTCCTGCGGCAGGACCATCACTCGTAGATGTCTCTGCCATCTTTATCTATGGAGGTCAAAAGAGAAAATATACTGTTACGACATGGACAGGTGACTGAAGTAAGCATCTTAAATTTGATCAAACTACAAATATGTTTTACTTGATATTTTAGAGCTTGGCATAACTACTAAAATGTACAACAACAACCATTATAAAAATGCCATTGGCATTATTTAAAGTTAAATTAGACTTTCTCATATATTCAGGTTTTCCAAGACTGTGGGAATCCTGGTTCTTCCAAAAAACAAAAACAAACAAAAACAAAAAACAGTTGTTGGGGTGAATGAAAATATGAAATATTGTAGAAATATGCGAAAAACATTTTAGCTGTTTCAGTTTACTTTAATGCTTGTTTTGTCTGGTTTTAAATTATTTTACGTCTTGAGGACAATCAACAAAGCACTGTAATGCATACATAAGTGCATTTCGGGACCAAAAAAAAAATCTACTGCGACTGGCATAGAAAACTTTAAATGCAATATAATGTGAGACTAAGATACAAATGCTTTATTTCCATAGCTTGCTAATAAAAACGACTTGAGTTGTAAAAAACTGATTATTGTACTCGGTCTATGGTCAGTGATCTTCATAGGCCCAATCATAATCACTTCCATGTGGCAAGAGGGTAGATGAAATTCGCTAAGACGTTTTTAATAAGGTAGGTCAGCACACATTATTATAGTAAACAACACAAAACTGTTGTTTCCATTATTCAAATATGACGACTTCGCCTCGAAAACCGTGTTTTGACTGCGGCTGACAAAACGCCCGCAACTTACGAAAGAGCTGCGCGGCGCTTGCAGTTCCAGTCAATTCCGCTAGAGAGCGATTGCTGCTCGCAGTACGGATTGCACCAAGCACTTTAACGAGGACCAAAATATGTATTTCTACATAGTTATGATGTAAATTTTGATGGGCTAGCTATGTATGCAGATTCTCACTGACACATTTAAACTACTTTGGTGGTTACTAATGGAGGAAAGCAATTAAAAGTAAAGTTAGACGAACAAGTTCAGCTTTTCCTTGTTTTAAAAGAATCTCGATAAATCTGTGCTTTAAAAGCTCGCGGATACTTGCGATGACAAGTTAAAACGCACACATGCACGATGTATTTGTTTTCAAATAATAAAGTCGTTATTTAAGCACGTTATCATTCGTATACAACGTGCAATAATGTAATAACGTTCTTGACCTGCCGTTTATCTTAAATCAAAATTTCATCAAAATCCCAGACTGTGCAGTCACGTCGCCTCCGAAACATCACCTAAAAGCTCGTCTGCTTTAGTAAAAAACGTTTGTTTGGATATTTCAAGTGATGACGGAATTTATTCTTAGCATAAATAAAGTGCAATGCGCCGAGCGCCCATTACTAGCATTCGTCTGACACACAAAATGGCGGAGCATAGCAAAGGGCCGCCGACACGTTTAAACTATGTAAATTATAACAGTTCTCTGGTCTGATTCACGTCGCTCGGACCTTTAACCAACACGGGAAGGCCAAGTGTACAACTTGTTTTATTAAAACGCAATGTTTTCCCCTTCGTCAACAAACTCCTTACTTTCCCCTTGTCACGGAATGTCGTTAGCCCGACTGATAGCCCCGGCTAGCTGTAACATTAGCAGGGCATCCTACAATAAACCAAATCAACAGTTTCACGTGCTTATCCTAAAAGAAAAACATTTCCCGAGGCACTTGGAATGAGTTGCCATTCATCCGTATATGAATATAACAACTCAGGTGCACGCAGACCTGAGGAAATAACAAATTGCATGCTTTTAATTTCTTCTGCACAAACTTGTCACTTCTATTTATCTTTACGATTTTTAAACCTCGTTGAAAATAGCCGCAAGGGTTGAAAAGTGTTAAACAATAAACGCACTCTGTGTTCGTATCGTTGTTTACTGCGTGGGTGACGACATTAACGTTGTATTTATTGATAAACGTGCAACTCACCTCGTTTCTCTCTCAACTCTTATTTAGAGCTGGATGGCGGCGTTATTGCGCATGCGCGGGTTAATATGTGTCTGTCCAACTTCTGCAGCCCTGATAAACTTCATCGCAACATATATGTGTGACAGATGCTCTTAATGTAACAAAGAACCAGAGCAACTTAGTCCTAGTGTGTCCTTACATGACCCTAGATTTTACTTGTGCGCGATACTCGTTTTATCGGTGCTTGTTGCTGGAAAACAATTTAAGGCCTTAATAATACAGATAAGGAAAATGGTTTTGATTCTCTTTGCGTTTTCCACGCACTTTAAACAAAAACAGACAGCCAGTCTGTGGCGTTCGAACGGGGTTGCGATCGTTTCGTTTTAATGCAGTCTTTAAAGTGCGTGCTCACTGAAACGTGCCGTTTTAAGAGTAGGGTTTTAATATCCTTTCAGTTTACAGTCATTGTATTGGTGATGATTTGATTTCCTGTAACAATCACGTGTTCAGCTTTTCTCCACAAATCTCTTTTGAAGGGCATATTCTGGTCATATGCAATAAAAAGAGAAAGGCAGAGCTTATTAATAAAATAACACCGCGTCAAGTTGTAAACTGAAGTTCATAATGTTTAAATACAATGTTTTGACAGCCGCATTGTGGCAAGAGTGGCGAAAAGGAAGACAGTGACGACGCCACAAGATGGCGCTGTGAGTATAAAAGTGACTCCCCCCCCCCTCCCCCCCAGAGGTTAGCACGTTGTTTTCAAAGTAGGTTTGAGCCAAATTTAGGCAGCAGAGCATTGTAAAACATGATAAAAATGGCAATAAACACCGCAAAGCAGTCGCAAATGATAAATTCCAGTGGTCTGTGGATGACAACTGTGTGCTACTTCGTGACCCAGATTCTACTTCGTGATTCAGGTCTCGATTTACAGTAATTTGCAGCGCTTGTGCACAACTCTGAATTGTAAGCATGCAAGTTTTTGATAATTTAATTAAAACATGTTAACTGAGACATTAACCATTTATAATTAAACTCCATAATGATAATGATACTCCATAAACCCGCATTTGCTTAAAATAATTTAATTGTTTCCACAATTCCTCCAAAAATGGACATTCTTTTACTGATCATACAATTTCATCAAAAACATTTAACCAATGCCATCTGAATACTATACACAATTTCATGAACACTGAGATTTAATATTCATTCCATCTCAACTTTTACAATCCAACATCTGATGCAACCTGTAGTCTCACTTCATCTCATCACAGTATTGTTAGAGCACCACTAATCATTGTATTTCAGTACAAATATCTTTTTTTATCAAATAGGGTTAAAAAGGGAATTAAATAACATGAGTGTTAAAAAACACAGTCACATTTGATAGAGACTTTGTAGTCTCGTGCAAAAGCATTGGTCCAGCTAACATAAAAATGAACTGTTTCAGAGTTTGCTTAAGTTAAACATCGTTAGAAACATGTTCAGACAAAATGTCTATTGGTCTGACAGAATTCTGTCTTCATGTCCACGAGTCAGTGAGAGAATGTTTTCATTGATGTAGGTGAAGCCAGGAAAGGTTGCTCCGTACTCCTCGCATGCTCCTAGCGACTGTGGAACAGGAAGTTCTGTAAACCGAGGGTCAATGTTTGTGAGGTCACCAGGGCCAGACTGAAATACAGACATGTAAACAAATCAATTATTTACATGTTATCTGTATGAAATCATCTCTCGTCTCCCACACCATTTACTCAACCTCTCGTTGTTCCAAACATGTATGCATTTGTTTCTTCTGTGGAACACAAAAGAAGATATTTTGAAGAATGTTTTTGAGCATACAGTGAAAGTCAGCAGTTTGAACCCCAGTGACTTTCATTGTATGGACTAAAAAATAAAACAGAGAGAGAGAAATATATATTTTGAAGAAAGTCTTTGTCCATACAGTGAAAATCAGCATTGACTTTTACTGTATGGACAAAAAGCCTAAGACATTTAAAAAATAAAAAATAAACATTTTTTTTTGTGTTCCACAGAAGAAAAAATTTGCCCTGGTTTGAAACAGAAAAATGTTAATTGTTAGGTGAATAATCCCTTTAACAACAAATACATCAATAAAAAAAACTCACCAATAAGGGAACGTAAGGAGGAGGAATTTGCTTTGCAACAAGTTCATCCCAGTGAATAGATGAGAAGAATGGATGAGACTGCAGCTCGGTCTAAAAGCCAAATAAGGGCAAAATGACATTTAGCCACTCACAAGACAAATGAATTTCAGATTGTTCGTGAATGTGTGTGTGTGCTTGTTGGGTTACCAGGTCACGTTTTGCTCCTAGTCTCTTGGCCCTGTCCCTGTTTAGCAGTCTCATCAGCAGATCTCTGGCTGCACTAGACACTCCGGGTTTTAATACCAATGGCTGATAAATAATATTTCTGAGCATCTCAAGACGATCTGCATTGTAGAAAGGTGGCTGGAATGAGAGAGTGGGTGTAAAACACACCTGTCTACCTGTATTATTTATTTAAATGAGCATTCATTTGGTGGTTTTGTTTACCAGGCCATAGAGCATTTCATGAAGAACAGCTCCCAAACCCCACCAGTCCACAGTCCTGTCGTACTCCTTCTGCAGGAGAACCTCAGGTGCTAAGTACTCTGGTGTTCCACAAAAGGTTCTGGTGGTGCCACGTCCACTCATTCCTTCCTTACACAAGCCAAAGTCGGTCAGAACCACATGACCTGCAGAATCCAGCAGAATGTTTTCTGGTTTCAGGTCTCTGTGAGCATGTGAGAGAGAGATGGATTACTGTGAATCTGCTGGAAGTTAGTGTTAATTTTGTTCTCACTAAGCACAGAATGGGCTTATCTGCATTATAGAGGCACAGATATTTCAGAATGTTGGTACCTATAGACAATCTTCAGGGAGTGTAAGTATCCTAAAGCACAGGCCATCTCAGCAGCATAAAATCTGGCTCTGGGCTCTCCAAACACTCCTTCTCTCTGCAAATGGTAAAAAAGCTGCAAAAATGACATAGACAATCATTAATACATGCACATCAGTACTATTTGGATTTGCCACAAACACATAAATAATTTAAAGTCATCCTGCGGACCCTGGTTGAAAACAGCTGCTTTAAAAGTTCAATTTCAGATGGACTAAATCAATAATTCCTTATGTCCTATAAATGCTTTAGTCCTGAAATCGTACCAGTCTGGTTTTGCAAAGATGGACTAACGGGACCTAGATAATGCGACTGTAGTTTGTCCACTACAATTGGCTTCGTTGTTGTTGTTTTTCTTCTAACAGAGGTGATGTGTGATTTTTCAATTCAATATTCAATTAAACATTGTGTCTTGTATATTCGGACAGAGAGATAAAAACTGAAAACCAGCTGTAGCTCAATTATAAAGTTCTGATTGGGTAATCCGGTTATTGACATCTGACTTGAAACTATATATGAATTTATCACCATAAACAAGTCCAGATGCAAAGCTGTGCTGTACTTGATTGTGTATGTGTACCTAGAAGTAAGCTAAATCTGACAAAAAAAAAAATATATATACACACACACACACACACAATTAAAAAAATGCATAACATTTAGGGTTAGGGCTAGGTTGTAGTATTTATAACTTATATATATATACACACACACACACACAATTAAAAAAATGCATAACATTTAGGGTTAGGGCTAGGTTGTAGTATTTATAACTAGCAGTAAACAAAAATAATACATTCTATGGAATGTCCCTATTTAGTAGCTAAGTAAACATACCTCTCCTCCACATGCATAGTCCAGCACTAGATAGAGTCTGTCTTTAGTCTGAAAACTGAAGTGGAGCTTCACCAGGAATGGATGATTAAGAGTCTTTAACAACACTCTGTGCTCACACATGACATTTCTTTCCTGTACAAAAAAACAACACAGTGAATACACACCGACACATTATGAATCAAATAATTATACTCACATATTTATACAGTCATACTCACCTCCTTCCTTGTTAAGATGATGTGTTTCTGTAGAACTTTGACTGCGTAATATCTGCCATTTTCCCTGTGTGAGGCCAAGAACACCTGAGTACAGACAATCAAAGAAAGGTTCAAACAATATTCATACATTAAAGAAATACAAAGCAGAGTGAAACGCTATAAACATAATACCTTGCCAAAGCTTCCTGTCCCGATCACCTTCAAGTAGTCAAAATCAGCCACAGATACCCTAAAATCATATTTAAATAAATATTTATATGTAATTGTATATGTTTATGTCCATATAGCTTAATATCTGAGCACCCGCTTACCGAGACTGTGGCTCCTCTGATTGTGGATTACTATAACAAACCTGGGAGAGAAATCAGGGAGAGAGAGAGCGAGTCAGCAGCTTACTCCAGTGACATATGAAACCACAGCACAGTTCACTCCACTTCCTGTTACATCTATAGATTACTGTAGGTCAACCAGTACAGCAACTCAAATCAGCGCAGCTGACTTGGCCTTATGTCTCTGAAAGAACTGGAGACCTTTATTAATACTTAAAGTAGGATATTGCTAATCTGTATGTAGGCCAAGAACACACAAGTGGACATGAACTTGTAAAGTTCACTTACAGCTGCTGCTCCGTCATCTTCAGAAAGACTTCCCTCAGGTCGCAAGAAATCCATCCTGGAATGAAAGAAACCATATCAGAAAAGTGCAAGTGCTTTAGACAAATGTTAAGCTTTAGTTCTATGTCTATGTATTCTCCTAAAACTGCCTCAAAGTCATTCAACACCTATATGGAACAGCACTTGGCTACTGGTTTCACTTTGGAATGTTATAAGTAGGTCATTGTCTTTAAAGCACACTGTGGTCAATCTGTAATGACATCGTAGTGCAAAGGACTAAAGTCATTCCTGATTTTTCAGCTGATCTTTGCAGAAATAATGAAATAATGAGTCAAGCTTCCGAACTCTGTACTGGAACACATACAGAGCCATGCTCTGCTTCACTTTTAGCTCATGCAATGGAAAATGATGACTAGGACGAAACTCACTGTCGATAGATAGGGTGGCTGGATCGGAGCTTCTTGTCCTTAATTAACGCTGACAAAATAAAACAAAATAATTTTTAATTAGTGAAATATCTCCATATAGTGGACA